GGACGAAAGCTGAGAGACTGAAGAGCTGTCATTGCAGTGTGCCGTGTAAGACCGATCTCACGAGCTGCTTGACAAGTCGACTTGTCGGGGCTTCTTTAGAACATCTCTCGAACAATTTGAATATTTTCTTCTTATCTTGATGTTGAAGGACGCCGGTTCTTTTACTATCTGCCAATGAACCAGTTGTCATCAACTTTGAATGACAGTTTTTTATGGTTTTTGGATCCAAAACAGCATAATGTGCGTTGATATTTCGCCACCACCTTTGCACTTTCACTATCGATTGCCACACTTCGTAGCAAGAAGCAATTTGCGCTCGCTCTTGCATTAAGAATCTTTCTTGAGCCATTTTATGATATGTTATCTAATTCTGAACCTGTAAAGAAAAAATGAGAAAACATGCATTTAGCTGAAGCTGGTAAAGTCTACAGTCAAATTAAGACAGGAAGTTTCTTTTCAACCACGCTGTATATATATATATATATATATATATATATACACACATAAGATCAAATGTTTTTGCCTTTTTTGTTTTGCTTGCTACTGAAGATTGAATTTATTTCAATTATCAAACCGTTAGTTTGTGTCGGGTTACTCCTTTAACAAGTAACGAGGCTATTTGTGTGTACATCTTGAAAGAGTAATAAATTATAACAATGTTTAAATTTGGTTATTGTAAACATTATAATGACATCAATGTAAAATGTCAAATGTCTATAGAATTTTTATATGCTGGTCAAATGTAGAAAACTCTTTTGCAAACTAAATAATTTATCGAATATAACTATACAATAACACCGGCTACTGCCGGACCCATAGAATACAATGCTACATACATAATATAACGGGGGTGAGGGCGGAGCCCGTGTAGCCACTAAAATGCCACAAGATGTCAATTCACACGTATAAATGTCAACACGAATTGTATTTTGACGTTACAACCGTTTCCAAATTTCGCATGCAAATTATTTAGAAAATGCCAAATTGCACGGTATTTACAAATAAATATGTATATTATTTGTAAATACCGTGCAACACACATGGATTTTAATACACATATAATAAATATGTGTATTAAAATCCATCTGTCAATACAGCGAGTCGGGTTGTAGTAGTGATTAAATGATAATACGACGTAATTGCTTGTAAGTGTGCTCTCGGTGACGCTTATCCTCGTACAAAATAAGATTGACAGCCATTTTATTATGTATTATAGTATTCTATGGCGACCGGAGGAAAATAGCCGTAGCGTTTTTTCCTGAAACTGAACTGTCTGTCATTTTTTGAGACGGGAAATCTGCGCACACAAAAACAATTGTCTGTGTCTAAGTAACTCATGCCATGTAGTGGCAGCATAGGGGAATCCCTTATATAATCTCTTATATTAATCGAGGGTGTACAGCACGCATCTATCGGTAGCCATAAGGTTTTTAGCCTTCATAAGTGCTAGAGCCACGCTGCAGCTATATTATGGTTGTAGCAGGAATCGGTCAACTCGATCGGGGAACGACCACACTCTCACAGAATGTCATGAAATAGCAGCTTAATGTACCCTTCGTAGAGTTCCGTAGGTAAACAACAAGGAACCCTTATAATGTCGCCACGTCCGTCCATCCGTCCGATTTTACTCAGAGATCCTTTATAATACAACTCCGTAATTTGATATAGTTATAGATATCAATTACGTCTACAAAGTTATGATATAAAATCTTGAATAACATTTAATTTTGGGTACCTAACTTTAAAGTGGTATTTTTATTAGAGTCATACCCCCCCCCTCCTCTACCAAATACAATACTGATTTTGGAAATATAAAAAATATACATGGTAGTAGTTTAATAAAACTAAAAGAAAAACTATCACAGCAAATTAGGCTTAACAAGTTGACGGGTAATAGTCGACCAACTTACGTCTAAATAAGTTTTGAGATATACAAAAAGTATTCTAGATACTATTAATATTTATTTTATATCTTTTAAAATATTCTCCATCATGCTCTATACAAAGTTCCATCCGCCTAAACCAATTCTGAAAACACTTTTGCCAGTTTGACCTGACAGGTCGGAAATTGCTTCTTCATGATTGATGAAGCGATTACCGACCTGTTAGGCCACCACGGCTTCTTCGGTGCTTGAAAAAAAACTTGCCTTTTATTTTTTCTTTGACTCTTGGGAACAAAAAGAAATCACAAGGAGCTAAGTCAGGGCTGTAGGGTGGGTGACTAGAGTTTCAACACCAGATTCCTCAATAAATGTTTGTTCTAAGGGAGGTATGTGAAGAGGCGTTATCATAATGCAGCATGATTCCCCGAAGCCCGGTCTTTGGTCTTCTCTCCCGCACAGCTTGAAAAGCTTTGGGTAATGCAAATGTATGCCATTCAGAGTTGACTGACCTACAATTATCCAGCATTGACGTCGACAAATGTCCACTCCGCGAAAAAAACTAGCCACCATTTTTAGCCGACGTTGTGAGGTCTTTATAGTTTGGTCGGTAACTGTCCTTCTGAGTAGACCCATGCCGATGATTGCCTTTTATTTTCCGGATCATATTGATAGATCCATGTCTCGTCACCATTAACGATTTCTGAAACGTGCCTAGATGCCCCGTATTCAAAACGTAGACGCATTTCATGGTACCAATCCACACGAGTCTGTTATTCGCTTACGTAGAGCAAACGAGGGATCCATCGACAACAAAGCTTCCTCACTCCAAGATTTTGCTGTAGAATGGTATGAATGCTCCCCGAACTAATGACTAATAATCTTTTTGAAGTCCGTATATGTGATTCGTGGATCTTTTCGCACCAGAATTTCAGTAATCCATACATTTTCCGCCGTTACTGCTGTTTGCGTAGCCCCGGTTCATTGGTCATCGTTAATTTTTTTGAATTTAGCAAACCATCTAATATGGATTGTACTCGTAACCGTTGTAAGCTTAATTGTTCGGTTAAACCATTTTACCAACCATTTTACCAATTTAAAGTCATAATAGATCATAGCTCGCAAATGTTTATGGTTAAGATCCATCGTTTTAAATGAAAAGTGCGAGAAGCGTTGCAGGAAAATTAATAGACCTTTGTTTTTTTTTAATATTGAGCAATAGAATTATGGAGTTCTAATTTTAAATAAATTTGCTTTTTAGAAAAACATAACACGGGTGCGTTCCATTTTTAAATTTTTTATCAACTATGGATTTAGATTTCTATGGACATTAGCATCCATTTACTATCAGGTGGAATGTGTGCTCATTTTTTCACCCTTATTCTGTATAAAAAATCCCACAGTCACCTGTTACGACACCTACAGGACGAAATAGTGGGATAGATTATTTTACATCGACTCCACAAGGCGAATGGTTTTAGGAGATTTTAAAAAACCTACCCAATTTAATATTAACGATGTTAAAAATGAATTAGCGAATAACTGCGTAATAAAATAAAATGATAGATTGCCCTCGCTCAATTGCGCGCACTATCCCCGTCACCATTTAAAAGACAGACAAAAATGTGTCATCATTGATAAAATAGATAAAAACAACAACTTAACATCTTATCCATCTGGATATAAATATTGTTACGAGCTTAGTGTTCGTGACAATAAAAACTGCCGATTGAGTTACCAAAATTGACTTCAAAAAAAAACTAATAATTAATCACACTAAGCACTTAGTTCGCAATTATAACACTTCGAAGTATTTATTAGCTTGGTCGTCAATTCTATACGGAGGCGGGTCGCGGTCAATACCAGTCTTATAGAGGACCTTTTCTACTGAAACATCTAGAATGTTCGATTACATACCGGTCCCGACCGACTAGGTGCAAGAAGTTCTCTCCTAGTTCTGCTACTCGATACTAAATGGCGCTAGGGGGAAAGTTATAGCATGGCATTTTCTAGAAAGATATCCTAGTTCTGCTACTCGATACTAGATGGCGCTAGTGACATTAATTATGGCTTGCAACAATATAATACATACGAAGTTCCACAGAAAAGTATATTAGGACCGATCCTTTTCCTATTATATATATTGTAGTCATTACGAATCGTAAATGTATTATGTATGCTGATGACATTTCAATTATTGTGACTAGTAATAAAATTTGACAACACAATTAGGAATCATGAAGATGATGACAAACTAGAATAACTTGACGTAATAACGTAAATAATTTGAAAATTAATTTAGACAATTTAATAAATTTATCAATTCAAATCATAATATTAAATTTAATATACAAATACTAAAAATGCTACATGTACAAAATTTCTGGGAGTAACGTTAGATGAAGATATAAACTCAGAAGAACAAATAGATAACGTATGCAGTAGAATTAACGAATTAGTATATGCCCTTAAACAGGTCAAAAACATCACAAATATTAAAACGACAATTGCAACGTACCACGCACACGTTGAGTCTATTCTACGCTATGGAATTATAATATGGGGTAATAGTAATAACCAAAATAGGGCATTCGTTGCCCAAAAAAAAATTATTCGTGCAATGTGCGAGATGTCGCCAAAGGAATCCTGTAAATCAGTTTTTAAAAGACTTGGTATATTACCCCTCCCGTCACTATACATTTATGAAGTTGATATGTTTGTTTTAAAAAATAAGTCACTGTTTATTAAAGCACGTGATAATATCCCCGGAACCAACGTGACTCAGACAAGCTAGTTCTTGAACAAAAGTATGCTAAATATGTGTATAAAATAATGATTATAATGATATAATGTATTTTATTACATTGATTATAATGATATAAAATAATGATAAACTTAAAGAATGATTCTTGCAAATAAAGATTTATGAAGTAATCTCAGCCTCACTACTCTCAACTAGTACTCCTACTTTATACTTGGTAAGATACACCATTTTATTTAATTACGTGGATCTTAGCTAAATCATTTGTTGGCATCGTTAATATAATAGATTTCCGCAAAGTAACACCTGGATCTATTACTTAATAAATGTAATAATCTAATCCTCAATATTTTATACAGACAGCCCACCGCCTACAGGGAGTTAAACAGCAACCGTTTTGGACCTCCATCAACGTTGATAAGGATGCTGGAACTTCAAAAATGGTGATAAGGATAATAAAAGATGGCTTCAACAATGTTGATAAGGAAGACGTTGACAAGGGGACAGTGGAAAATTTCCACCCAGATTTTGTCATTGAATCCGAGAATTCCCTTGAATTCGCACCTGACCCGAACGATGGAAAATTTCATTTTAACCCTGATAAACTAGAAGATGGTAAACAAGGGGAAGAAGAACCCCACGACTTCAGCTTCCAAGATCAAATCGGTAAGTAGATACCAATTTCGCAGTAAAGGACCATAAATAAACAAATTAATTTAGGTATGATATTAAATTATGTAAAAGAAAATTAAAGTAACATCCTTTATTATATGCTCCACTGCCGGGACCTGTACTTTCTCTCATTAGCACGTGGCAGTCAATCAAAAATATCTGTCGTCTTCAACATAACAAAAATTAACAAAAGTAATTGTTAAGGTTAGAGGATCTAAGCGTGCAAGAGTCGATCAACTTCATAACGTTTGATAATGACCATTTTAGCGTTGAGTGATGATGAGATGAGCAGCAATATCTTCCTGATAACAACTCAATATAGTAAAAAAAACTGCAATTGCCGACCCGTTTGCCAAGCGAGGCATCTATGGTGAAATTCCCCTTGAGGCAACCTATACGGAGGCCTATGTTCAGCAGTGGACTTTCATAGACTTTACTCGATGGATGTATGAATTAAGTAAAATCAAAACTAAATAATGGAACAAATGTTAAATTAAAAAAAAAACAATACTAAATTGATTTAAAATGATGCAATCAGCTCTAGTAATAATTAGTAGTTCTAGTCTCTATATCTACGACTATACGGGTTAGTGGATAGCCTTACACAATTACTTTGCAGTAATATATTAAAAACCGTACTATCTTACTTCTATAAATATGACTTTTATTTTATAATCACACCTATGACTGGACCGTGTAGTGGTCGTGTAAGAAAATTCACTACACCATATCGATCTGTTGGTGTTTAAAAACATAAAAAACTGCAATTTACAAGCCAGTGTAAAAAGAGTAGATTCCGGTCTATTTGCGCCATTGTAATGTAAAGCCAAACTATTATTTCAACTTTTATCTGTTTCAATTCTGTGCACTGGTACACAAAGACGTCCGTCGTCTGGCTAGAGATACTGCCCACTAAACTGTTTCTGCTATCGAGTAAGTAGTAAGCACTGCTGTTGGGTGTGCCGTGTTCCGCTCTGAAGGGTGCAGAGAGCCTGTATCATTACCGGCTGTGAGGCATTCCATCTTAGTCCTCAAAGTTGCCTCTGAGCACCAAGATGGAATCAACTGAAGACTTCTTGCTTTTTAATTACCTGTCATGGACGTTCAGTAGCCACTAACTATCAGATGAACTATAACTTCGTTCGTCAATATAATTTTCTTCTTTCTTTTTAATTAATTTTTTATTCCATTTTTTATTTCGTAGACCGGCCCACAATAGTTAACCAGGAAATCGAGCCTCGTCGCGAAATTCGTCAGAATTCTAACTTAGGTAACTCTAAGACACTTGTCGCCGATGAACTGAATAAACTACGAACTGGAATGTAAGTATACTTTTTTAAACATGTTACATTTTGTTACGTTTGATTATTATTGGATTATCTTTTGGGATTTGTAAAATTCTAAATAAAATTTAAAATACCAAGAAGGATTGACATTTATTGCGTATCTTTTCAAAATTCAATACGTCATGATATGCTACAGATTATAATAACACGGAAAAGAATTTTGTGTATATAACACAAAATTGTATACATTATTTTTGGGTTGCTAAGGAATTTTTAGGAAGTATTTTTTATTAGAAATTAGTTTTATCAACGTTTTATATATACTCGTAGTAATAAAATTGCGCTGTTTTACATAAAAAATAATGCAAAAAAATATAAAAATATATAATACAAAAAAATTATAAATACACTTACATTTTATAAAGTTTAATCAATTGGGAATTTAATAATTTATCTAGTTCTAAGAGAGAATATTTAATTTGTATTTTAATCATATTTCTCCAGGAATAAAAACTGTCAATGCGGAATCGCTATACCTGCTCAGTACTCTGTTGATTGTCGATAGTATTAAACCTGTTTTAAAAACCTAATTTGATCATTTTTTAAACCACGTTAATAAATTGTGTATCTCAAACCCCGCATTTATCTTACTATTTTAAAATATTGTCTTCTTATAACTTAATTTAGATACTTATTACGTTAAAGTCTAGCGAACCTACTCGTAATGTTTTAGAATTTTTGTAGATATAATTTTTCATCATATCTACAACATTTCCAAAAATTATGAAAATTATGCTATGTGATTGGCGGAGAAAACGTTATCGCTTTTGTATGAAACTTCACAGCTTCATAATATTCTTAATAATTAATAAATAGTTTGTTTAGTATTTTTTTAACTATTCCAAGCCAGCGCTCGACTACTATCCACCTGATGGTAAGTAGTGGTGCAGCCGAAGATGGGGAAGCGCCCTGACCGACTGATATAATATAACCGGGGATAGGATTTCCTTTTAAGTATAATAACTTTTGTTAGGAGACTCCACAGTTCCGTAACATTAACATTACTATTTGCATGAACTTTACATAATTAATACGTCTGTGAGAGTTCAGATTATTCAACGACCGGAAGTGGTTCAAAACTGAATTATAAAATTATATTACATTCATACTATATACATAAACATACACACAGGTCAAACTTATAAAAGGGTGTAATAAACCCTTAAACAATTTTTTTATTTCTTTCTTTCTTTACAAAACCATTTAGAGATTATATTAGATCTATGGTAAGTACAATTTGAGACAAATTTAAACTTATTTTTTGCTGTGAGCCATCGTTTTCGTTATGATTAGTTTGACACACAGGTACGCACGAATTGGTTTGTTTAGTTAGTTATGTTTCGGTTACCGTTGCTCTTTCGTAATTACAGTATTAAATTTTACCAGATGTAAAAGTTAATAGCAAAACAGTTTGTACTGCCAACCAGGGGGAAAACATGAACGTATATTCATAGTAAACATATCCCGTTTTCTAAATAACCTTTTTCATAGAAGAAGAATTTCTGCTCGGCTTATTTGATTAGGAGGCTTAAGCAAAAACTAAATAAAATGATGACTCTTTTACAGAAACGTTTTATACGTGGTAGAGCTATGTTGCAGTTATATTAGTAGTATAGTTGTAGCACAAATGGATCGGCTCGACCGCGGAAGGACCACGCTCACACAGATACCAGCGTAAAATAGTAGCTTAATGCTGCTGTGTTTCGTATGATGGGTGTAGAGAACCCTTTTTAACTGGAAACGAAGCATTCCATCTCAGTCCTCACGAGTGACATCGTATCTGCATTTTGATTCGTAAACGAGGATAGATGTAGATGTCTATGGGCCACAGAAACCACTTACCATCAGATGGACTGTGTGTTCGTTTGACACCTTATCCTTAAAAAAAAGGAACGATCAAATATTGAATATTTGAAACCATAAAGTGAAATATAATCTTTCGATTATTATATTATTCGCTTAAATACTTTGCTGTTTATTATAAAGAAAATATTTTTCCTTACCGTTTTACGATAAACACTAAGAATTTATTTGTTACTTGGAATCCTTTCTTTAAAATTTTCTTAGCGTAGCGTAAACTTTTAGGTCTGTACATTTCCCACTATTCCTTAATGAAATCGATTGAATGTTTAATTAAAAATAAATCTTTCTTATTTGAAACGTGAGAATTACTTTTTTATATAATTTAAATATTATTAGGTAGGCTTGAAGGCTAGGTTAGCTAGGTAGATAACTTCAAGTCTAAATCTAAATCCAAGACCAAGGTGCAGGAATGCGTCCTTGCTGTGGATTTTGATTGTTTATTCATTCATATTTTTTAATGATTTTCTAATTTTTTTTAAAATTTTCGTAACTGATGACCACATACACAACGAAAAATTAAAAAAAAACATAAAACACATTTTGTTGTTGAAAAATTCTTCTGTTGCTTCACTGCCATTCCTCAGTCTCATATCGCAAGATTATATTAGGGTACAACTCTTAAATGAAATGTGCCATATACGAGTAAATAAAATAAACTTTAATAATTAACAATGCCATACAATACGATTAGAACATCTGGCAAATTAAATTCCGTTATAATAATTGTCATAAATTTTCGGAGCATACGACATGATGACGATGATGATAAAATTCTTCCGTTCGGCCTATACAAAGCAATATGGTTGCTCTGACTGAACTTAGTTTTAAACATTGTAGAAAGCACCATCACCATCATCATCAACATTAAAAGGCAAGGCACGTGCAAAAGTATGTAATAAAATATTGAGCTAGATTCAGAAGCAAAGGTAATATTAAATCCTAAATTGAATGGAGGTATGTATGTCGAAAATCAATTTAAAGGGATAGCGTTTAATTAAGTAATGGTTTTCCTAAATTAGTGGTGACGGGGATAGTGGATGCAGTTGAGGGAGAGCAAGAAGTGCTCTTTAAACTATACTACGGAACTTAGCTAATTAATTTTTTATCATCTTTAATACAGTTGATATGATTAAAACTACTTTTACGGATTTTATCGCGTTTATTTTTACTTTTTATTTTTAATTCCCGACGTTTCGGGCGCTTTCCAGCACCCATGGTCACGGGGGACTGAGATGACTGACGTCCCGATGTCATTGTTAAACCCGAAGTACCTTCAGCTTTTTTAATTATTGTTTATGGTCCGATCTATGCAAAATGAACTGACTATGTCCTGAGGTCTTGCAGTGGTATGCTTGGGTTTAGTTTTAATTTTATTGATTATAGGATCCCAAGCAGGTGGTAGTACCCAGCCTCCTTCTCTATTGAAATTAGGATGTTTTTTAATTTCAATAGCCTCACGTATCATCCTTGGTAGGAATCGGTGTTCTTTCGCGAGGATTTGTGGTCTATCAAATCTGATGTAATGGTTGTTTATAAAATATAAGAAATATAAGAAATCGCGTAAATATAAGAAATCATTACAGTTGATATGTTTTAAAATTACTTGTGCATTTTACCTACAGTTCGGTGATTGTATCATGTCCACACGAAAGCGACCTGCCTCAACTTGATTGGAATTCGTATTGCACACCAATATTTTTTTCTAAAAGTTCACGGTTCAATTTAAAAGTGTTGATACGGCTTAGCAATTCTGAGTTTTTCGCACATTGGTTCGTGACTTCAAAGGCTTTTTAATGGGAAATAAATTGGTTAACGTTGATCGAGTGTGCAGTGGTCTTTGATGTCGATGACGGGGTATACGAGTAACGTGAAAGAGTACGTACGGAAACGTTTGAAAATTGCAACTATCAATATCATTTTAAGATTAAAATATTTGCTGGAAGTGCGTTCAAAAACATTGCATGTTTTTTTTATACGTTAGTGCCATTATAACATATTTCCTAACTATATTGATGTGATTCGTAATAAACCAAAAATATGTATTTGCATCTGTATGTGTGTGTGTGTGTGTGTGTGTGTGTGTGTGTGTGTATGTGTGTGTGTGTGTATTGTGTGTATTATATATATATATATATATATATATATATATATATATATATATATATATATATATATATATATTGTATATAAATATGTGTATATTTGTATTATTTTCCTCTTTGTTGTCAATCCTGTCCATTCATTGTTTGTTAGAAGAAATTACTGCCTTTTGGCTGGGCAGAAGTGATTCTAGTCTTTCCGTTAGGTGGCGCGATAAATTTTACATTAGCCTAAATATAAATAAAAATTCGACCACAGCACTAGCTATCGGGTACAGATTTTTTGATTCTCGAAATATTACCATAACGTATGTGTACCTTTGTATTTATCAATGTATGACTGTAACTCAGTTTACATCCAATTCTAGACGTCTATATAATTGGAAATTTTACAAGAACCGATAAAAATAAAAGAATATCATTGAATGCAATAAAACAAATTTGTTTCGTGACTATGAACTATGTATTACTCTTACAAGTATCATCACAATTTTTTTATGGAGTAGTGGTGACAAACGAGCACACAGCACAACTGATAGTGGCGGATGCTGTGGCTCATAAACATTTATAACTATTGACGAATAAAAATCAAAATTCAGATGCGACGTCACCCCCAGGACTAATATAGAATGCATCTTATCGTGGAATAAAAATTACACTGGCGCTGCGAAGAGATGTTGCATCTCTTTGCATTTTCTTTCGCATATATCATGGGGAGTGCTCTGAGGAATTGTTCGGATTCGGTTTCGCAAGCGTTTGCTCCCTCTTCTATAAAAAAATAAGGGTTACCGGGTTTATACACTCACTATTCGAAGCACAGCAGTATTGGGCTGTTATTTTAAGCTGGTACTCTGTGAGAGCGTGCCTTTTCCTCGGTTAGCTAACCTATTCGTGCTACATCCATAATATGGCTGCAACATGGTTAGGAAATATGTTTCCTCCTAACCCTCGGCCGTTTGGTCTCCCCTGCCGAGGCCTCCATCTGGTTGGGCTTTTATTTATTTATGTATTATTTATTTATGTTAGTATATGAAATATATATTTATGTATATTTATCATTTCCTTTTATATATTTATTCAGCCCAACCAGATGAGAATACACTACTAATACCCCAAAATAATAGCAGCAAATATTAACAAATTGTAAAGTCCCATAGGATAACCTTATATTAAGGTTACATATTATAAACAGTAAAAAGTGCGACCCGAAACGTCCACACGACTAAGTTTCCAGTGAAAAGAATAAAAAAATATCATATGTTTTAATATTTTATTCAATTTTTCTTTCGTCACCAAAAACAACTTGACCGATTTTGCTCAAGTTTAATAAGGTCTAAGTAACATAATTATGCGTTAAATGAAACTGGTTCTATTTCACTCTTTGTACTCGAGATACACGAAGCGAAAATTGAATCCAAACATACATACATACATACATACTTACATGTGCATACACGGACATCCTTTTAAAAACCGTACTATTCGACTCTAAAGACCTTAAAATGTGGAGATATTATGTTAAAATTTTCAATTTGCAAAATTGGACCCATTACAATAACTTCCCACTGGGAAGTTAATAACATACATATAAAAGTAGAGAACCATTGATATATTTAATATTAACAGGCGTTTTATTAATGACTCTGCTACAAACTTCCGCAGTATAAATTTTCTTTGTCATTTTTTCCTCAAACTATTTACTCAATTTTCAAAGCTCCGTTCCGAAAGGTAGAGAAATATATCTGTAAGCCTATCTTTTCGAGTTTGATTGCACGCGTCCACGGGTTGCAGGAGCCACTCTCCATTAAGTGGACTGCGTGTCCGTTTATCACTTCTGTTTTATATTGAAAAAGTACAAGGAAACTAAATGCGAGCGGATTGATATTTTATTTTCCAACTGAAGCGAATGCTTTCAGAGATTTATTTCAACGTGAAAATGGCTTGCTTTTGCCTATCGATTTTATTGCATCGCTGGCAAATGGCCGAAGTGTTTTTTAACAAAATGCCAATAAAATATTTATGAATTATTTGCAATGGAATAAGATTTATGTTAACAACTTTTGGGAAATTTGTAGTTTTAATGAGTACATCAAAGCTAAAATGTGTGAGTGTTAAAATAAAAGTTAATTATTTCGTTCAAAAATGGCTCTTATAAAGCACTTTTTGAAAGTCAAAAGCTATGTTATCGCTTAAACAAGTTCCTAGTACGGGAAGAGCTTGCGAGAAAAGCGGTAAAATAACTCATAAGTAGACTACTTTCTCCGCAACTGTTACAAATAATCGTTTTATTATAATCACGAGTGAAAAAGCTTAAGGGCACTCATTATGTTCAAATACTTAAAATATCCTTTCTAGATAAGAGTGTGTTTTATGTGCACTTTGAATTTATGCAAAGACAAATCAGTAACAACTATTACCTTGTATATTGTTATAAGTAGTTACACATCTACTCAAAAATGAGCCGCTGGTTTTGTGAAATCTGTACTTTGGGACAAGAAGTTTAGATCGCGTGTTAAAAGTATGAACATCACTCATTATGTCAAAGGTATTAAAATAGATACATTAATAGTATTGTTCAAAGTGAATTGTGATCTAACAGTTAATATGTTTATTTCTTTAAAAAGTTCTCTTTGCGAGTCCTTTAGTATAACAACTTTAAAAAAACGTACAGTTTTTTTCCGTAATAGAAATTTATTTTAAATATACGTTGCTGATCCCTTTATAATAATCCAAGATGAAGTTGTAATAAACCAATATTGTAATCTATAGATTAAAATCAAGGAAGATTATGGTATCTGCTAACTCAAGTATTTTATCGTTCAACTTAACGTGAGTAGTGACCCGACTTACATTTGGTAAAGAATATTTTTTATGCATATTGTTTTATTCGAATTTAAAAGAGAGTTCTTAGTTGTCAATACTTGAGTTACATCATCATTTATGTCGTGAAATGAATTTTTGACCTCTATCAACATTGAACACTTAACAGATATTATCAGCAAAAATATGATTTAAAACATTTTTAGTATGAGAAATATGATCATTTATATATATTCAAAAGAGCAATGGTTCCAATATTAATCCTTGAGGCACGCTTATGATTAAAATAGCTTCAGAAAACTCAATCCCCTTAATTTAATACAGTTAGAGAGGTATCATCAGCAAGCAATTCTGATTTCTTAAATTTACCAATTAAAAAATACGTTATCTTTATTTAATAAACGCGATAAAATCCGTAAATTTAGTTTTATTCAAAGCAATTCTGTTTTACATAAAATATCTTATGAGTATGAGTGTAGAAAAAAAGTTCATATATGTATGTATATTAAAAATAGCAATGGTCTCAATATTGATCCCCGAGGCACGCTCATAATTAAGGGTGCTCCAGAAGACTCAGTCAAATTAGTTACTACTTTTTTAGTTAGCGAAGTGTGATTTTAGGATAACCCGACTTTTTCAGTTTTCATTATGCCTTAATTTGTATTACGGTGGTACATTCATATTCGAGCGGCTCTCAACGGATATGGTGATTCACATACCATACTAGCCACTCGCACGCAAAATATGAATAAACTAAAATATTATATCAATTCCTTTACTTTTTACTTTTTACTATTGAGTCGCTCCCTAGGAATTGATGCCTGGAGCAGATGCTCACCCAATGGAAGGGCCTGTGTGTATGTTCATAGAAATGTATAAATATAAAGCAAATATGTGTTTAAATTTTAATCCACTTGGCATCCACTTGTCCTCTACTCTTTGTGTAAAATACCTAATACTGAACTTTGGTTTTTGTAAATGAGGTTACAAAAACCAAAGTTCATTCAGACTTATTAATTTATTATGTAAAGACTAAAGTATAATAAAATCTTTTATCAAATACGCACTTAAATTTTTTATTGCATTATACTGATTTTATATACTTGATTTATATACTGAGTGAAATATAAACATAAGATGACCAGCCGCATACTTGATAATAACGCAGATATAATTAAATATTTCTTCTAGGACTCCGTCCGATTAGGTACAACTCAGACGCACTGTTGTCTTTCAGTTTGTAGGAGAGCCGCTATAATATCATCCAGACCGAATTTCGATTACACCGGCCTGTCTTCAAAGAAGACTAGCCTTGTGCGCAGGATAGGATTATAGTGCCCAGGTGTATGCGCAAGCACGGGTGCACTCTCTACTTCCTTACTCTCATAGTCCGAGTTAAAATAATAATACGTAATTGATAAATTAAATTCTGCAATATGCCCAGGAAATGATCAACACTAATTTCATTATTAAGTAGACGTAATTGTATATCCTGTAAAAATTCGTCCCTCAATAAGACATTTTGAAATTTGTTAAGTACCGTACTACTTCCGATACTGTGTTTGTATTTTAGTTTATGTAATCATACAAAAAAATCTCGTAACGACCCCGTAAAACGTATTAAATTAATAAATATGTTTAATTAATTTAAATAACTACTCCAAAGTGCCTACTAAAATATAATTGAAATTAATTGCAGTAAAACATTTATTTCGTCATATCTCTAAATGACGTAAATTATGTCACATCGAATGGTATGTTATTGAACAATTAAAAGTATTTCACTTTTAACCTTTAAACAAGAAGTATGTATGTATATTTATAAGTATGCTAATGTCTGTATCATAAAGGTTTATATCATGTTTTTATAAACAGCCGAGGGGGATAATCGAAGGAAAAATAATATATGAATATCGATTATCCACTTCGTCTAGGGTGGATAAATGAACACACGATTCCGAGTATCCACCCCAGGGCGAATTTCTTAGGGTTGTAAACAAACAAAGGCGCACTGGTGGTTTTGACAATTCATAAAATAATACAAACAATTGAGGAACACCATGAAAATGCATACAATATGGAAATATTGTACTTATTGAGATGTATTATAAAAAAAAAGTAGTCGTAGATTGCATCATTAAAACATGTATTATTTTATATTATTTTTATAATTATTACATGTGCAAAATAATTTATTTGTAGATAGTTTAATGTGCATAATTAAATTTGACATAATTTTAAATTAGATGTTAACGTCGGGTTTGAATAATTTTTGTTGTTTTGATCAACGATCACTACACGATGTTCTGTCCGATCAGGGCTAATAAAGAATACCGCTTCCCCGTCTCCCTACTGCCCGCCAACCTGCGCTGGTTGAAAATTAACCATCCCAGTACTGAAACCCAGACTAAGAAGAGGTGAAGAAAATATTCTTTATACATTTTAGTGAATACCGTCCCCACCCCTCAACCGTCCTGCTAGCCGCTTGGGAACATTACGTTTCGTCATTGATGAAAATGGAATTTATTGTTAAAACAATTATCTTAATTAACAAAGCATAAATTTTTATTCGTTTTCGAAACTCGACCAATAAATGTGCTGTTCAGTGCAAATTTTACGTCTGGAACAATGGTTCGAATATTATTTTATGTAAATTGTTAAATGCTTTATTGTTAAAATTTGAACGATGAAATCCTCTTTCATTACCTGAAATGTTCTTTTGCCAACAAGACACTTGTCACAATACGAGTACAAGTATTTTGTTTAAATCAAATTTTGTTTAAAGCAACATTATTCTTTGTAGACTGTTTACATTATGACTCCACTGAAACAGAGTTGCATTTGTTCAAAATTTCTAGTATAGTAGTATTATTGATAAAAATATTTATATAGCATGTAATTATTATTAGTTTGGTACGAATAAACGAGTCCATGAATTGGTAGGATTATAATATATTTAACGCGTTAAACTCATTACTACCAACAGGTGAGCCGCTTGCTCGTTTGCTTCCTCTTTCTTTAAAAAAAAAATAAATTCATTATCATACCCTTTGGTTTTAAAATTTTAAGCAATTTAGTTTTAATATTCCAAACATTTTTATGATATAATATTATTTATAAATCAGTCATTTCTCTAAAAGAAATTTGTTTCTTTAATATGAGGTGCACCGCACCGGTCATGGCTTTCAAAGGCATCGATTAATCGTACCAAGTAAATAGCCTCTAGAGGCTTACTTTAGAGTAGTGTCACCTGAACACTTAGATCAAAGCAATCTCTGTTGAGCTCCTGCACAAGGGCGTATCAAAACTTGTGCGTAAATATGACAGTTTGTCAAGTATATGTTGTTTCCTATAATAGTATATATCTGTTGAGGTTTTGTTAATAATAACAAAATAATTAAGGTTTACCTTAATTAACTAAATATTTTCCGATAGAATTATTATAAAAATTACTGATGTTAGAAAAAATCTCATAAAATCTGAAAATGTTTTAGTATCTTTTTCATCACACACACAACAAGCACAAACAGCACAACAAGAACAACGGTGTTAGCATTTGCCGTAATTATCATAGCAGGCGAGCAACCCGGGTTCGATCTCCGTCGGCACTATTGGAATTGTTAATTTGCAGTGTTATTAGGAGTTTCCCAACAGACCGCGCGGCCGGTTTAGGTATTTATTAGTATTGTTGCCATCTCTTGTCCTGTCCCGCGCGCACTGGTGAAATGGCAATAATCTAGCAACATTTCCGCGCGATCTTTTAGTTTCGTAGTTTGACAATTATTCGAATAATATGTTTGTTATGTGGATTTTTTTCATGCAGCATATTCAATAATTAATTTATCTATGTACGTGGTATTTTTTAAAAATTTTCTAAATTGATTTATTATTTTGAAATATTGGGATGAAGTTAGACCTAATTTGATCGAAAATTAAAATTTTTGGACACGTGTAACTTTAAAATATTTCGTTTTAGCAAAATTGTAATGAAACAAAAACAGATATTAGTTTATAGATTGTGTTTATAAAATTCTATTGACTTTATTTGGTTTATATTCAATCTAGGATCAAACTTCGTTTGTATTGAGCTTGCTAGGGAGAAACGTCCCATAAAATTTGAAATAAAACATCATGAGATAACCTGAGAAATTAAAAAATAAAAACTCAAAGGCGTGTGAAGTCTGCCAACACTATCGCGAGCTGCGCGGTTTAAATTTCCTTTCTTCTTCCTAACACTTTCAAAATGAAGGGAGGTCTGTGCCCCGAGTGAGACGTAAATATACTCGTACTCTTATATAGGTCGTAACTTTACATTTTACACACACAATAACATGCACATACGCACACATGCACACACTGTCTTTTTTTGTAAAAAATGTTATTAGATATGTTTCCGTTAATAACAAATCCTCAATATGTAACTTAATAATGTTAAAATTTAAATATGTGCAGTCACATTTACGCCATTATGAAATAGTATAACTGTAATTTTATAAATAATTGCTAACAGATTTGTTTAATTTTGTTGCAGTTCTCACGGGGCTGACACGGTGTCCAGAAAACCTCAGATCTTCACTCGTAACTCGGAATCTCGCACGTTGAAGTCACTTTATGATGTGTCTATTCTAGCTGGTATCTGCATTGGAACTATTGTGGCGCTTTTTGTACTGACTTTTGTATGCTATAGGTAAGTATTATAATAGAAGTAATAATTTTATCAAATTACAAGAAAAATTGTCATATATTATATGTTTGCTGATTTGGAAAAAAGAATCTCGATTGGCGTGGTAAGATGGATTAAGTCGATGGATATAGGTGGCACAGGACCGTGCATTGTGGCATTTCTTGGGGGATTTATATTATGACGTAAATTAGCGTAACATAATTCCCCCAAAACATGCTACAAGCGGTGTAAAAATGTCCAAGACACCCATATCATCCATGGGTGTCTTGTAACAATGCACCAGTCTGTGGGATATGGATTCAAGAATCTTCAACTTTAGATACTGCGGTGACTTTATTACCTTATACTAGAGACCGTGAGACCACCTTACTACTTACATCGGCCGTATCTGCCACTAAATGGTAATACTTTCACAGCCGTGTTCCGGTGAGAAGGTTTTTTTTATATATAACAGAGAGCAAACGAGTATTTTGCTCACCTGATGGTAAGTGACTACCACCGCCCATCAACACCTGCAGCACCAGAAGAATTGCAGGTGCGTTGCCAGCCTTTTAAATAAGAGTAGGCTCTCGTCTTGAAGATCCCTAAGTGGCAACAGTCTGGAAAATCAAGTAAGTAAGTAGTGGGTGGAAGAAAACAGTTTGATGATCTCATTAACATTTATAAGTTTTGACACTGCGTCGCTGCACTAGGTATCAACTCCTGGTAGAAACAAAATTATCCGTTTCTGCTGAACAAAAACCATGTAGAGGCGGTGTAAGAATATCCATTACCCCATATCATTTCATGAGTGTCGTAAGATGCGATGGAGGGAAACACACTAGGGCAGCAGAGTCTTTCTGGTAAGAACTTCAAAAAACTGCAGTTGCCAACCCACTTGCCGAATGCGCCAACTATAGCTTATGCCCCCCCCCCCCACTATGAGACAATCTATGGGGGAGGTCTTTGTTATTCAGTGGACTTTAAAAAGACTGTAACGGTAAATAAAATGGTCTTCCATTTATTCGAAGAAAAATTATTTTTCTGGCATTCCCCATAGTCACATCTTAAGACACCCTAGAGACAAAATTGCGTAATTGATTCTGTTACGACACGCACGGCGTGCTACTTACCCTATAAACGATAACCCGCCTGAAGATATAACTAATCAACGTAAACGCATTTGTTTATGAAATTTTAATGAATTGATGGAAACTAATTCAATGTTAGTCGACGCTAAGCAAACTTAGGCATGATGCCACCGACTCCCCAATGTTACAGATCAGTAGAACGGAATTCACGGGATACCTCTTTATTATTAATTAATAAAACTTCCGCCGTGGTAGGCGTTCGCTATAATTTTTATAGTACGCGAGCTACCCGGATTCGATCCCCGCCGGCACCAATGAAATTATTCATTGCAATTTTTTTTAAGTGCTGATTTACCACGTACTAATCGGTGATGGAAAATATCGCGTGAAAACCTGCTTATCTGAGATATAAGAAAAAAATATTTTTAGTATACTAAATATACGAAATATTTGGTGGATATTTCCTTACCTTGGACAGGTCGTCTTATTTTAAAATCGACAAAATAGTTTGAGATTTTTTAGAATAAATTATATAAATGCTAAAATAAGACAAAAATTTCAAGTGGTGTCAAAAAGGCGTGAAGGATCGAAAGTATGTTTGTCGCTTCAATTTGATTATAAAATTACGGTTAAATACAAAGATAAATATAGAAACAGCAGCTTAGAACTCTACTTAATCACACCATCTGCCCTCAGAGTTTCGAAGAAGGTGAAGATAGTGGCAGAGGATGTGTGCTATCCCCCTTACGGCGTCACCGGCCCAACTCTAGAGACTACATCAGATCCAAAACTCGGCCAATCTGCACAAATGTTTCATTACCAACATCAGAAACAGGAAATGCTATCGATGGAGAAGTACAATACTTTTTTCACTTATATTTTTTTTGTAATTCTACTTTATTATCATGTATATAATAGCGTAAAATAGTAGCCTGATGCTACTGTGTTTCGTATGATGAGTGTAGACAACCGGAGACCCTTTTTAATTATTACTACTACTACTTATTACTCACTGGAAATGGGGAATTCTATTTTGGTCATCAAGAGTTAACAACACATCATTCGATTCTTAGTTAAAAATAAACGTGAGAGAGAGCATCTATAAGCCACAGCATCCACTTACCATCAGAGAAACTGTGTGCTCTCTTGTCACCATATTTGGGTGAGTGGATGGGTTTCTTGCTGGTTCTTCCCTGGACAGAAGATTTTTTCCGAGCCAGAGGTAAATCTTAAATGACTTTCAATAAGTATTTTTATAATCTATATTGTATAAAAATATTCTATACTATTGTATTTATTTATTATTTAAATTAATTTACGTATAAGTTATATAATAATGCCCTCCAGAACGAGCTTAAGTCTCGGTGGCCAGTCTCAGAAAACTCTAGCCACGCGCGCAGGACGAAATTATTGTGCCCAAGTGTAAGCGTAAACACAAATACACTCTCTCACACCCTCACTCTCATACGAGGGTGGATTGAAAAAGTACTCGGCCTAACCAAGAAAATAAACACATACTAAATCAGTTATATTTTTATTTTTCTACATAATCACCATCAAGTTCAATACACTTTTGCCTCCTCCCCTTCCAAGCATTTAGACCGTTGAAAAAAAATGATTCTTCTTTAGAGTGAAAATATGCGTCTACAGCTGCTTTGACCTCGTCGTTTGTCGAAAATCTTTGACCTCCCAAGTGCTTTTTTAGGTTAGGGAACAGAAATAAGTCTGATGGTGCCAGATCAGGTGAATACGGCGGATGCGGTAACAGTTCAAAGCCACAGTTGTGAATTTCAGCCATTGACTGTACTGACGTGTGAACACGGGCGTTATCTTGATGAAACAGGACTTTTCTTCTGAGCATTCCTCGACGTTTTTCTTTTATTTCCTCTCGTAAACGACGTAGTAAGGTGCAGTAATAATCAGAGTTTATAGTCTGACCCCTTTCAAGATAATCAATCATAATCACACCTTTCGAGTCCCAGAATACTGAAGCCATCACCTTATTTGCCGACAAAATCGACTTAGCCTTTTTAGGGGGTGGTGAACCAGGTCTTCTCCACTGTTTTGATTGTTGTTTTGTTTCCGGTGTACAGTAATGAACCCATGTTTCGTCCATAGTAACAAAACGATTCAAAAAAATCATCTGCATCGGCTTCAAATAACTCCAAACAGTCGCGTGAAATAGTCAATCGTGTCCTTTTTTGTTCAACTGAAAGCAATCGCGGAACCCACCTCGCAGACACCTTGTGGAAACTCAACTCGTTGACAATGATGTTTTGAGTTCGTTCATAAGAGATGCCTATAATCTCGGCTATCTCTCTAATTTTTAATCTGCGGTCTCCCATTATTAAATCAAGTACTTTTTTTAATATTTTCGTCAGTAGTTGACGTCGAAGGCCTTCCAGAGCGGGGTTCATCTTTCACGCTCTCTCTACCACGCTTAAATTCTGCTATCCATTTTTTGACGGATGAATATGACAAAACACAATCGCCTAATGTACTGACCATGTCATCATGGATGGCTGTTGATGATAGTCCCTTCTTATGGAGGTACTTAATGACGGTACGCTGCTCGATTTGCTCCATTCGCGGAAATTATGTCCGATTACTTTGTTAATAAATTTATAAAATCACAACTAATTATCGCACACGTTTCGAACTTCACACAATGAACTAGTCTGAACTGAACTAAATAATGTGGGTAGATTTGATTTTTAGAATTGAATGGATCTGTGTTAGGCCGAGTACTTTTCAATCCACCCTCGTAGTTCGATGGGACGGTCAAACGACATGGCTGAAGAGAGATTTACGAATACGTGCTTTCCGAGGCACTAAGGTGAAACATTGCTAATTCGTGACTCGAGGCTTTTATTGAAAATTTCTTGACAGAAAAACCCAATAACTGATTTTGACCAGAAATTGAACCACTAGATCAATGAGGCAGCCGATATATTAATTATAACTTTAAGGATTTGGCATCAATACATACGACAGAAAGAAATAGAAAGAGAGTGAGATAGATAGATAGAGAGAGAGAGAGAGAGATAAAGGAGTTCCATTTTTTTACGGTGTCGCCTTAAGGCGTAAAGTGTCTACCGCCGCCCATGAACTACTGCAACACCAGGGAATTGTATGGTGACGAGTTAGGGTTGCCACCTGTACTACAATACATAGTATCATACTATATTTCAGTAAAAATATATATTACAGAAAAATAATAAAGTACAAAAATATATTTATATTTTTGTACTTTATTGGTATTAACAGGTACAGGATATTGATAGGCTGCAATAATGACGATGATGAGTTCTGACAATACGATGATGTATTGGCCCATTAAAAGTAAAAAAGTAGCAGCCTACATCCCGTCAATGTCATTACTGGGCACAGGTCGCAGAAAACTTTTAGTCTAAAATGTGGTTCCCTGCGCTGACCGCAATAAGAAATGAGCTCAACTGGGTAACCAGATATGCAGGTTTCATCACTGTTGAGAACGTAGAAAATCGACACATAAAATTGAAATTAAAATACTTTTTAACCACTCAGACATCTAGGTTTCCCCACGAAGTTAATCTTCACCACTTAACCGGACACGTGATAAGACAGCAAGTAAAATTTCCTATAACAGATTCATTTGTTCTCGAGATAATCGTACACATTTTGCTCCTGTGTCGTGATGAAATCGTACGGCCTGCTACACTGGTCTTGTATTTGTTTAAATAAAATTTATAAAACTTGAACAACGCCTTTGCACAATTGTTGACCACATATACCTAGTAATTGGACATTCAACGATGCCACGAACTATTCCATTAAATGGAGATAAAAATTTCACAGCGCATTTAATTTTCAATTATTTACGTCAAATAACTTGATAACAAATGAAGTTGGTGAAATTAAAGCTATGCCGAGAGACACGCAATATATTAAACTAAAGAGCTTCTTTATTAATCACAGTTTTCTGTACACTATATTAGTGTATTAAATATAATGGTCGCCACACACTCACACACGGTCAGTTCAACTGATCATACCAACTGATCAGTTCAAACTAAAACTGCTGATATTTTTTAAAATATTGGATTTTCGATATATCGGTAAATAAACTTATATATAAAACTCCGATATTGCTACATTTATAACAATGTCAGTTAGAATATTTCTTAATTTACTAATAAGTTTACTCAATCCATCTGCAAATAAGTCAAGATCATCGTTCTGATCAATTATGTCACCAATCATTCGTAAAGCGCGGATAGTAGGCGCCCGCTCGCCGCGCCTGGTGCGCGCGACAGAGCGTGCCAGCAAACGAGGCCGGCGGCGCGGGCGAGCTGCAGCCTTGACTCCTGTCGTATATTACGGGAAACTACTTCACAACCGGACATATGCTTTTTAAGACAACAGTGTGCAATTAGTGCTTTTGCAATGCGCAATAAATTTTTACTTAATCCCAGGGCTTCTGAGGCGAATTTATGATCAAAAGCCCAGATGAAGGTTTTAGAATAATTTAGGCCTGGTGTCAGACTACACCTTAAATAATTTGTTGTGATAAAAAGTTTTAAGGGTCAATCTGGCTAGGTTTTTTGAGATTCCACAAAATGGCTCGGGTCCAAATTGTGTATTCTTTGAGCACTACTGTGCAAGTTTGTCGGCAAGTTCATTGCCTACAATACCAAGCCAACCGATTCATGCCACAACCATAATATTGCTGCAGCGTGGCTGTACCACGTTCAAAATCTAGCCCTACTGATCATGTCGAAATGTGATAATTAGGAGTAGATTAGCCGAATAACTATATTAACTACTTTTTCTAATAAGGCGGATTACATTTGCCAAATTTCAGAATATTCAAACGCCAAGAGTCCAAAAATATACATACGTTCACATTATATTCACACATATATTCTTACACACATGTAGGTCTAGCTGATCAAAGCGTATTCATAAAAATAGATTTAACTATTTAATTTGTTGACGATGAGGCATATACATTCATAGATGGCCACATATATGCATTCATAGAAATGCAATTACACACGGTTAGTACATTAATTTCATTGTATCAATAAATAATGAATAGAATTGGTAAATTTGATTTTGATAAATTGCAAAACCAACTAATTGATTTCATTAGTGCAAATACGTAAACGAGTCGCACTACGTCAAAGTTGTGTAAATTGGCGTATTTAGTGAGTGCCGTGAGATGCGATAGAGGGTAATGAAATGGAGATGTGCAATATATTGTTAACTGCCAATGCGATTGAAAAGTGTAATAACTGTGTCAAACAAAAACTATGAAGTAATCCTATGTATTAATGGACTGTATTAATGGAGGACTGTAATGACTATAGTCTTGAGCCACTTGCATCCATTGACATCTCGCATGTCTTCCTAGATGCTCTCATCTAGTGCCACCCTGAACTCTTTACAAGGCTGCCACTTGAGAACCTTTGTTCCTCCATCGGATATATGTTTTTCGAGCTATATGGTAGAGTTTTTATAGAGCAAGGGGTCAAACAAATACACAGTTTAGTATTGGATGCTGTGACACATTGACCAATATTCTCCTTCTTATCTTAAGGCTAACTTTCAGTATCTGTATTCCACTTACGATAGAGTTCCCCGTTCTCAAAATAGTCTTAATATTCGTATTCCACCAGATAGGAGTGGTTTCCTGGATTAAGGATTAACATGCAGTTGCATTGTCACAACTGAGGACTATGATGGAATGCCATGTTTCCAGAAAAAAGTGTGTCAGCCTCAGTGATTTTTTTGGCTATTTCGGTCTGATTCTACTGGAAATATCTTCATATCGGATACTACTATAAATCAAATAAGTTCCGAAAATAGCCCGTATCCCCAAATGAAATTCTTTTCGTTTTTCAACATGATTTCATACTTTTTTCAATAAAATACGGATTATATTCCCGTTTGGTCGCATCTTTCACAAATCATTTTCCCGGACTTCACAAGTATCTCAACTGTTGCACTACAATTGAGAACAATCTATTCAAGAGCTGAATCGAACTAGTTTTATGTACTCCTCATTACGACAATAAATAATTCCTCTCAGAAGTAAAATATTTATAGGAGTTTTAAAGCGGTAAAATTATTTTTAACGTGGTAGAGCTAGGCTGTTAAACTCTAGCAGAATGGGTCCGGTCGTTTATAAAACATTTAGAAGCAGCATATAACGATCATCTCATTATACGTGGTAGATCCACGCCACAACTTTTTTACGGCTGCAGCACGAGTGGGTTGACTTGACCGGGGAAGCACCACCCTCTCACAGAATACTATCAAAAAATAACAGCTCAATGTTGCTGTGTTACGTATGGTGAATGTCGAGAATTGGAGACCTCTTTTACTGATTATGAGATATTCTATTTTAGTCCTTAAGGATAACATCTACGTTTAGATCTCGCTACTTCTAATTCTAAGCGTGTTGGTTAACTTCACAATACATATATCATTTTGTTGACATGACGTTTTCATTCACTATTAAGCACTTGTTGCGATACCCGCCGACACTTGTTTTCTTTATTTATTATAAATATAATAAAATTGATACAAAAAAACTCTCCCTATCCTATCTCTATCTATCTATCTATCCTATCTATGTAGAAAAATATATTAATATAATTTTATTCAACATGTTGAAAATTTGTACTCGTATGAATGACTGACGATAATACAATAATTTTATTCACAAAGGTTATGAAGAAGTTTTTACTTCGAAAAGATTTATAGCGACTCGACTCTGCAGTAGTCAACTGCTAAATAGTTGAAACTTGTTCTATATGATGTAGCTGTATTATTTTTGTACAGGGTTGGAACGGACCCTCGTAATGGCTCGGTATCTAACCCCGATTCCGAAGAGGAGAACGCGGAAGGCGACTATACCGTATACGAATGCCCTGGTTTCGCTACAGTGAGCAATATTTTTACCAATTATAATACATTTTTACAAAATATTGAAATCGTAGCAGGACATGAAATGTGAGGCCTTAGACAGGAATACCACAATATCAATGCTGTCTAAATAGTTACATCAAGAACTTCATCCTATACGTCTTCTCCAAATAATATTGAACCACCCTCTGAAGCTTTACTTATTTAATGATAATGAATCAAACCATAACATACATACAAGAATAAAGTACAGTTGAATTATAACCCAACTTATTTTTTAAAGAGCTCAAAATTTACGAGAGAAGATACAGATAGCAATGCAATCTCTGTCATGTCTACCCAGACGGCTTTAAGAGTCTTAGGCAGATAAGGAATTTTATCAGCCTACTACAAAATAGACTATAAGTATGATAGTTGCTACTACATTTAAGACTCCTTTAAAGATTGAACTCCCTTTATACAGGTTCAATAATATCCTTTATATGTGCGAGGCTACAGCTATATTACTTGAAACACGAACGGATCATCTCGACCGGGGTTGGACCACAATCTCGCAAAATACCAGCGTAAAATAGCACTTTAAAATTTCTGTGTTTCGAATGTTAAGTGTAAAGAATCAGGGACCCTTTTTACTGGAAATGAGGCACTCCGTTTTAGTCCTCAGAGGTGACAACACATCTGTATTATGATTCTTAATCGAAAATAAATGTAGATTTCTATGGGCCACAGCATCCACTTACCATCAGATGACCTGTGCGCTCGTTGGTCGCCGTTATTCTATATACCGCATATGTCTACACCAGAATAGCATACTATTTTTATACTTTTACGTGGCACGTGCAACATTCAAGTTTTTTAATAGATACTTTTACGCTAATATAAAATTTATTTGCACAGACTGGCAACATGGAAGTGAAAAACCCGATGTTCGTGGAAGAATCTACCCTCTCTACCAACGGCAAGTGTGAAGTGGTGCTTACCCAGCCCAAAGCTTGAATTCTCTCTGTGTCAAAGATTTAATAAAATAATATTGTATTCGACACGATAATTCTATATGTAAACAGTAAAGATGTTAGTAAAGATATTTATCTTAAAACTGTGTTAGTATATTAAGTAGTATAGTATACACATCTATGATTCTGTATGGGACCGCCATATCTTACAGATATGGCTCTAAGGTCCCTGCTACTGCTGTTTATTAGACATTGCATGAATGTGGATGTTTTCTCTTTTCTCACTTTCCAACGCGCTTGCGCAAACTTACCGGACTCACTGCAATGTCTTCGCAGTCGCAACAACACACTGAAAGCGTTATTATATTGTACGCGCAGAGCATTGCAAGCTCGACGCGTATATACCACCCACAGGTCACTTGAAAAAAATGATTGACTAAACGCTTTGGAAAGTGTTATTGTAACTGTACATTAAATGAAACTGTGAGCCAATACGCTTGGATCTCTCTCACTATCAAGGCTGAGCGTTCCCTTTCTATGTCCTCTTTTTCTGTACTGTCCTCTAATTTTGATTTACGTGCCAAGAATCACATGTAAAATGTAAGTCTAGCCTCCCGGTGTGCACCAGCAAGGTATTTATTCAATACAGTTACAGACTATGCAGTTTGTCTAATATTAAGTAATAACTTTCATTACTACATGAGAAATCACAACATTGGCCTAACTCTAGCGAAAATGGGATATCATTTAGTTAAAAATGGCACAATGTCGTTATATATATATATATAGAGTTTTTACTGGCAACCAAATCAGATTGCTCTATAGTTTCTCTTATTATCAAAATCCGATTCCATGCAATCTATCGTTTAAAAACATATCTATTTTGTATTTAGGAAAAAAGACTCTGCATGGGTTATAAATTCTTATTTATTTATATAAAAGAAACTTTCTATTCCGTCTTTTTGTGAATATTGTCCTAATCAAACACCTCTGCCGCTTTAAATGTTTTATTGTGATCGGAAATACTTATAAATTTATTATATTATAGAACAAACTGTTAAAAATCTATTTAATACATAAAAAATTTCAAACTATTTTCTAAAATAAATACACACCTGATTTAAATTTAATATAAAGTTATATGTAAAAGTTTAAACAGAATTTAGTAGAATATCTATGTACGATTGTTATAAAAAATTTGGTTTTAAAATATTTTTGACATAATAAAAAATAAATTAACTGAAATGGGTTTTCAATTAAATATGTGTTTATACATTGTAGCATTGTGTAATTTATATCAATATATGCTTAAGATCACCATTTATCATCATTACAGCCTTTCACAAGTCCACTGCTGAACATAGGCCATCCCCAAGGAACCACAAAGCACAGTCCTGAGCCACTTGTATCCATCGACTTCCTGCATGTCTTACCAGGTCGTCACACCATCTAGTGGGGGGACGCCCTACACTACGCCTACCGGTACAATGCCGCCACTCGAGAATCTTTTTTCCGCATTGGCTATCAGTTTTTCGAGCTATATAGCCCATTGCCACTTCAGCTTACTAATCCGTTGGGCTATGTCGGTTACTCTGGTCCGACTGCGGATATCCTCATTTCTGAGTTTATCAAGCAGAGAAACCCCGAGCATAGCTCTCTCCATAGCTCACTGAGCGACCTTGAGCGTCCTCATATGGCCAGCAGTGAAACACCTCGTCTCAGATCCGTAAGTCATCACTGGCAGCACACAGTGGTTGTACAAGCTAGTTTTCAGAGTTTGAGGTATACCTGACGAGACGAATTGTCGTAATTTCCCGAACGCTGCCCAGCCGAGTTAAACCCGTAGATTGGCCTCACGGTCGAAGTTGGACTTACCTAGTCGGACTATTTGTCCCAGGTAAACGTGGTTATGAACGAGCATAGTGCTCCCAACAACTACCGGCATAGGTGTGACATGGATATTGAGGTCATTGAGTATAGTGCTTAGGTCCTCCAGCGATTCTACCGTAAGGAATATATCGTCGGCAAATCGAAGGTAAGTGATTTACTCGCCATTAATGTTAATACCGTATCCTTTCCAGTCCAGTAGCTTGACAACATCTTCCAATGCAGCGGTGAAGAGTTTCGGAGATATAACGTCACCCTGCCTTACACCTTTCTGCAGTTCGATAGGTTTCGAACTCTGATTCTGTACTGGAATAGCCATCGTAGCCCTACTGTACAAACACTTCAGCACTTCGATATACTGACAGTCAACTTGGCACCGCTGAAGGGACTGTAGCACCGCCCAAATTTCGACGAAATCAAAGGTTTTCTCATTGTCCACATACGCCAGGCAGGATGGTGGTGGCAGATTGTACTCTACGGTCTTTTGTACAATCTGCCGCAACTTAGTCACACTTACACTTGCGTATTACTCCAACGATGATTTATACAGCTGCTCGTAGAACCTCTCAATCTCACTCAAAATCTCTGGTGTCCCGGAAACGATGCTGCCACACGCTCAGTCTTCAGCTTTGACAGTTGGCTCTTTCTGACAGACAGATCTTTGGCAAAGACTTTGGAGCCTGGTTCTGCTCAAACGCTTCTTCAATATGAGCTGTATTGAAGTTGCGTAAGTCCTGCCGCATGCATTTGGAGATCTGTCTGTTCAGTTGCCTGTATGCTGTCAAATCTGCTGACGACTGCGGCCTAATCTCCCGTCTAACAGCCATTAGATTAAGAGTGTGATTGGAGATTGAAACAATACTAGTTTTTTACGGAATTTATCGCGTATATTTAACTTTTTAAATACCCGACGTTTCGAACGCTTTACAGCAGTCATGGTCACGGGCGGGACTGAGATGTTCAACGTCCATATGTCATAGTTAACCGCGGTTACCATAGATTAAAATTTAACTTTTGTTCCGATCTATGCAGTATGAACTTATGGTATCTTGAAGTCTTGCAGTTGTATGCTTGGGTTGGGATTTAATTTTATTTATTATAGGATCCCAAGCAGATGGTAGCACCCAGCCATCTTCTCTATTGAAATTAGGATGTTTTTTGATTTCAATAGCCTCGCGAATCATCCTTGGAAGGAATCGGTGTTCGTTCGTTCGTTCGTTTAGCGAGGATTTGCGGTCTATCAAATCTGATGTAGTGACGGGGGCGATCCTGTCCGTGTTCACAGACTGCAGACTTCCCGGAGCGTCGATTCTTCACATCAGCTATATGTTCTTTAACGCGGGTTTTTATTGATCTTTTAGTTTGTCCTATGTAGGAGAGACCACAATCACAATCAAGCTTGTACACTCCTGCATCTTGTAGAGGGACATTACACTTGACTGATGGTAAAAACTAGCCAATCTTCTTCAGCGGCTTTAAGTATGTTTTGATGGAAGCGCGCTTCAAGATGTAGCCAATCTTGTCAGTGCCTCCTCTAACATATGGCAGTATACAGCAGGTAACCGCTCGACTGTGGCCGGCTTCACTAGTTCACTGTGACGTAGGGACGTAGGCGTACCTGAGTACGAGGGGGACGGAGCGTTGACTTCATTAGGCGAGACCTCTCCAACATAACGTTTAGGTTCAGTGAGCCTCTAACCATTCGGTGATCGCTGCCAGTTTTCACCCTTGCGATCACTGAAACATCACTGAACAGTTGCCGTCTAGTCGTCATAATGAAGTCAATTTCATTTTTTGTCGAACCGTCGGGGCTCGACCAGGTCCACTTCCTGTGGGGCAGCTTCTGAAGAAAAGTTCATTATATAGAGTCCCTCTTTCTCCATGAAGCCAACGAGCCAATGCATGCCAGCTGCTTGCCCCTTGGCTTCCGTTGCCCTATCCCAAATTTCCCTACCACTACCGATAAATAATAATTAAAAAGCAGAAGGTACTTCGGGTTAACACTGACATCGGGACGTCAGTCATCTCAGTCCCCCATGACCATGAGTGCTGTAAAGCACCTGAAACGTCGGGAATTAGAATCAAATAAATTAAACGCGATAAAATCGTAAATGTAGTTTTAATCAACGTAGGATATTTTAATAATGCTATAAATTTGGGGATTGAAAGGACCGCTTGGGAAACCAATTTTAGTGTTTATGAATATATTGATAGCAGCTTATTTATTACTATAGTAAAAAAATTAAACTAAAGACTAAAACTAACATACAATCCTACACTCCGCGGTATAGTGCCAAAAACGGTGAATGTCTATACTTAACCTTCGAGCAAGGAGAAAACCGGCCCTTTTATTATAGTGGCGACCACAAGTCGCGGATACAGCTCTTTTTTGGAACTTCACCGCACGTGGGTCACCATGGACATATAGTATCTACAGCAAATCGCACAAACACGTAGTCATCTCTCAATATACTTATGTTATATTTGCCCGAATCACCTATTTCAGTCACATCTGATGCCTACGCAAGAAGCTTCCCACAATAGTATTTTACTTCTCTTCCATAGGACCGAGACATATCGTCAGGTCTTCTGCCATCGTATCTAAGGCTACAAGCCTCCAAAATCGACCGTGGTTATAAAACAAATCTTTCTGCACATTCCGTACTAATGGAATGTCCCACAGTTTACGTCCGTTTATCGTCCAATAGAACCTGCCTTGCCTCCTTAGCCAATCATAAGTATACTATATTATTTAAAGCTTTGTTACATAAATCACTACCACTATGCACGGAAGCAAGGAAAGAGGGACTTGCCCTCAGCATTGCATCACTAGAAATATTTCTTACACCGATATATTTAAATTTTATCGGCTTATTAACTTGAGTCTAGGTTTTTGTTGCTTCTTATAAAAGAAGGGGCAAATGAGCATTAGGCTCTCCTGATGGTAGGTGACTACCGCCGCCCATGGACAACTGCAACTCCAGGAGGAATGTATGTGCATTGCCGGCCTTTTAGAAAGGAGTAACCTCTTTTCTTAAAGGTCCCTAAGTCGTATCGATCCAAAAATATCATAAAAGATTTCACAGAGAGGTCGCACAAAGAAGAAAACTCCTAATAAAACGCACAGTTGTGAATCGCTAAGCATTCAGATAATGT